TAGTATACGTTAATTATTGACTAATATATTCATTATACCTAGAGCCACTAGCTGAGTTTAACTGATCAATTCCCATTTTCTTATCCTCTTTACCCTTCATTTTGATAGAGTTATTATTAAAAACTTTACCGATTGCTATACGTATACCTCCTTTTACTCTCTTCCAAGTTCCTCTAGCTTTTGTAGATGAGCCCACGCTTTTAGCTGCCTTCATCCCGTGAATAGGAGGTACAACCTCTCCCATTTTAAGACCAGTGGGGCACTCTTCAGTATGAATTTCTTTCAAGTTTCTTGGCTCTGGGCATTGACACAGGGGATCATCAGTTGAATTAACAGGAATTGCATTGGTAGAGGGTGAGATAGCCGTTGTATCCAACTTAAAAGCGTCAGTCTCAAGTAAAGCGGTATTATTTGCAGGTTCAGTAACAGTAGCCATTATTATTTATTAAAAACAAAGATAATATAAACAATAACAATATTTATTAAAAAGAAAAATTAGCGTTCTTTTTTGAACTAAAGCCCTATTTATACTCTTCTTTTAACTTTGAATTCAAATTTTGGGAATTCAAATTTTTATTAAGGGTAAATTTGGTAAAAGATAATTTAAAATTAATTTATCAAAATTTTAATTGACTAAATTATTGATCTGCCATTAATTTAAAAATTCTAAACAAAGCTTTAAAAGTTTCAAAAATTGAGAGAGGAAAAAATAAAGCTTTAGAGTATTGAGCTAAATTGAAAGATCTTTATGTTTCAAGGCTTTTAAAACTCTCCAAAAAACCCAATTTAAGAAGGAAGCAAGGCTTATTATTTACATTTCATTAGACTAAATTAAACTCATCTTGCTTTATTATTGTTATTATTGTTTTACCCTGATCTAATTGTATACAATCGTATTTAGTTTAGTTTGCAGAGAAATATTTCATATAAAATAAAGCTCTATCCTTATCTTCACTGTGTTTATAATATTTACCCTAGAATTCTTTGTTCCTGATACGCTGATCCTTAAATTAATACTTACTTTATGCATGTTACTTAAGAATGATCTAACTTGCCTATTAAGTAAAGTAGCCATATATAAAATATAATACCGTTTGATAACTATTTCTAAAAGTAGAATTAAAAAGTAGTGAAAAACAACAAGTTTATCATAAAATAATTAATGATTTCATAAGTTGCAAACAATAAAAAGTGGGAATATTATGAGTATATCTCTCTCACACCAATCTAGTTATATTATGAGAAAAAAAAGTTAGCCAACTTAATTTCGAATGTGACTTCTTATGATACTAATCACATAAGTGGTTTGATTATAGTTTTTATTATCATATGTTTTAAATTTTAAAATCGAATGATATGATATATTTATTACCTCATTATCACACATATTTACAAATATATTGCTATTGAAAATTTATATTATTTTATAGATAGGATAATTAATTTTTAATTATTAATAATTTTAAGATCTTTAATCTGAGGTGGAGTATGAATTAGTTAGATAACATTATTCTTTAAGCCACTTAAATTATTATAATACTGATTAACAAAGCTGTGAAAATATATTAAGCAAATTATCTATTAGCAATAGTGACCGTGAGATATTGATCATATATCGATATTGCTATCGTTACATTTTAAGTTTGAACAAATACTTTTAGAATAGATTAGATTATAAAAATTAGATCAACAGTGTATTTAATTGAAAAGAAAGAGAAAGTACAGATTTTGGTTTATTGTAAGAAATTAATAAATGGCAATTTTAGAATAAAGGCGTATGAAATCATTTTAATGGACTGAAAGTTAATGGAGTAAGGATTGTGGCATTCATATTCTCTACAAGGCGAACGGTATTGTAAACAGTTTGTGCCCAGCCGTCAACTTGCCAAGCAGATTCTCTGGTAATCTTACGATCATTAAGATCTGGATAGTGCCACATATGATGAACATAATTTAAGTCACCAAGCTGAGAGAACCAAGCGCCAACAGGTTCACAGAATTGACGACGACACTCGAGACCAAGTTTCCAGTTTTGTTCCCATTCCAACATTCTACCTGGTTTAAGGAGGTAAGTTCTTAATTCATAAACGCCACCATCGAACTTTGGCTTGGAAGTGGCCCAGAAAGCGAACTCTAAACAAATTTGATTTTCTCTCTTAATGAGTAAAGGTCTTAATTTTGACTCGAATTCTTGCCAAAACTTGTCTGTACGCCTTTTAAACATAATAGTATCATAAGAGCTGTAACCTTCATATTCCCAAATATGAACTATAAAATAAAAAATAAAAAATGTATATTAGTACTATACTAATAAATAAGTTAACATTTAAGTGAAAAAAGCTTACCTGCTTTGTCTAGCTCACCAACTTCTGATAACCAACTACCACGTAATTTTAAACCGTCAGCTTCGAAATGAGAAGATATTTTAGGATAATATTCTTCACTATAAAGTAATAATATCAAGTTAGTCAAATAGTCATATAATAAAGCTTATAAATAACACTTACACTAGCTTATGATAATCTGAAATGCTTTCAGGCTTAACATTATGAACTAAAGCAAAAAATTAGTAAAATTTAAATAAAAATTATAAAAAAATTACATTGAACTTCGTTAATAGCCTTTCCTCTAGCTAAAAGCTTGGAGAAGGTATCTTTTTCAAATTCCTTAACTACCTCAGGAGCTCCGTGTAAGATAGACTGAACAAAACTCTTTGCCTTCTCCCCTGTACCCTCTAAACTAGTAAACTTTGTGAAAAAAGGTCTAACAAGTCCTAGTTTAACTCTATTATTATTAATAGCTTGGTTTATTAACTGGGGTTTTAATAATGTTTTCATGTTTTATGTATATAATTCTTTTTTACTATACACTATTTAATTATTATTATTATTAAAGCAAATAAATTGTGTAAAGTGTAATATTAGAGGCAAAACTTGGTACATGAATTAGTATTTATACTACTGATGTCATCAGCTCATTTTAATAAATGCTAAAACTGCCCCTCAATTGACCAATCAATTGGTTAGAGGAGTACCAAGTTAAATTAATTAGTTTATAGTGAGGGAGTGAGTGACTTGTAACTTTTGGTAAAAATATATTCACTTCTGATCCATATATACCCACGCAAACTTTAATAAAATTGTAATACAATATTACCAAATTTGCATTTAGCTATTTAGAATACTAGTTAATATATAATTTTGTTTGTGATATTTAATTGAGATTATCCTGCACTCTCCCCGCAATTTTGATAAGATATACTTTAATAGAGATAGTTGCGTAATCTATAGAGTATAATTTATTACCTTTAGAAGAAGTATTCCTGTGATTAAATTAATTAGTCGTGATAATGGATTTTATTGAAGGTCTTACTTTTATATTATTGATATGTATTGACTCACTATTTTTTCATTGCTGAAACTATGATAATTAGCAATATTAGCACAAATTTACATTCGCTATAAAGTACTGCTATATATTAATATTAAATTAATTAATGTTGTTAGGAGTTTAATATTATTAAGATTTATAAACATATTAAATAGTTTATTATAAATACAAGTAGTGGAGTGGTTTATGTTCAAATTTTTATGTCTGATATCAAATTAAATATAGCTAAAATAATATAAAATTTGGAAATTTAATGTTTACACTCAAAATATATTTTGTATAATTCCAATATATAGTGGCATAGTATATAGATATTATTAAATTGCTCAAAGCAAAATATTAGCATAAGGATGGTATTAAAATCTGTATGACGTAATCACAGATACAGTTAACATTTAATGTAAAAAATATGATTTCATAAATGATATTTGTTTATATTGGAGCAAAGCTATGTTAGAAGCTTCTATTGGCTAAATTACACTAATTAGAGAAAAAATCATCTTAATTATAATAAAAACCAGCTGTATAAAAGATTTTATTTTTATTCAAAGTTTTATAATTTGTACCACTAGGAAAAATGGTAAATTAGTTAAGAGATAACGAAATCAACTATAGAGCACAATTATATGCAACTATCTCATTGTTATAAAAATATGAAATATATAAAAAAGATGGGGCTCAACCGGGAATTGAACCCGGGACCTCTCCGACCCGAACGGAGAATCGTACGACTAGACCATTGAGCCTTACACAAAAATTCTAAATTTGATATTTATAGTTAACAAAACTAATCAGCTTCTTTATTTGCTGTGTTTAACCCTGTATTAATTAATAGCTCTACCTTATAAAATTATTCATCTGCCTTAATATCATTTTGATAGTTATTCATTTAGATTAACTCTAATTTTTATCATTTTTATTATGACTTTGTTCACTATTTATCTCGTTTTAATAATTTATTGGTTAGTATGTGAAAATTAAATTCAAGAATTCGTAAGCATTTAAATTCAACCTTTAAAGATTGTATATAACTATAGTTATTGATATAATATGTCAATAGTTAACAAGCAATTTAAGTTTAAATAAAACATAATTACGTATTAAAGCAAATGAGACGAATTTTATACCTAATAATTTCTCTAACACCCCTTAATTAAAGGAGGAATTTAAAATCGCTATTTATCATGATTCAACTGTCAAGCTCACACGTAAACTCATAGATAGCTATTTTCAAATTTCTTAACTATTATATAAGTGCATAAAACCAAGTAAGTTATGTCGCTTGAAACTCGCTCGAAACTCTCTACTAAGCTAATTTTGATCTTAAATTAAAAAACCAAATTTAGTTAATTAACTAGTTTATTATTGGATAATTAAAACCGAGATTAAAGAGTAATTAAAATAGCAGTAAAAGCTTATGCTAGAGTAGTTATTCATAGGTTAATTTTGTTATAATTGAGAGTTTAATAGCAATATATTAAGCATACAGCTGTAATATTATATACTCCTATAACTAATAAAATATAATAGCTAGAGCAAATTTTCTTTAGCTTATTAGTTAGATAATCCCTTTAAAACTAATTTTTGAAACTTGCTAAAATTTTAGAATTTAGTAAAGATAATTTGAAACTTTTATAGCTTACTAAATTATTTAATATTGAAAATTAATTAACAAAAATTTTATTAACAAAAGAAAACTTTGAATGAATTTATACGGTTATTAAGGCCAGGGTGAAGCTTAGGAGGAGGGTTAAAGAGAGAGGGCTAATGATACTGGATTTAAAGTTTCCTGAAATTACATTATCACCGTTAGTGGATGCTGGGCAAGTTGAGTAAATATTACAGAAGGGAGATCTAGGGGCACAAACATGTCTCTTGCGCATATCTACTTTATCTAGCTTACTGGCTACAAAATCTACCAACTCTTCTTGCTTAGTCTTACGGTTATAAGACCCA